AATTATTATTTTTTTTTTTGATGATTTGCTTACTCTGTTAGTTTAAGCAGAAGGAATCCATTCATTGATTTTTTGAGGAAAATTAGACGTTTTTGGTATATTTAATTTTAATTTAATTTTTGATCTCGAGAGTGTCGGATTTTCAACGAATTCGTTCAACGTTATTTTTTGAGTAGCCTCTTCCAACGCAAATAAAACTGTTAAATTAAAAGCCATTACTATGAAATTTCAACCTCATAATGGTAGATCTATTGTCTAACGATCTGCATTGCAACTTTTTAATACATTCAAACAATTGCTGTACAGGAATTGCTGGAACGCGTACCGATATTAAGTGAACAATGCTTTAGTAAAAACGCCGATTTAGTACTTTTAATTATGCTCCTTCTTGTAGTTCTGATAGTAGCTTACTTAATTGGAGCCTTCTAAATTCAATGGCGTCCCCCGTTTTGCCCGATTCTCTCCACTTTTGGAGATAGCGGTACTTTAAACTTCGCTTAACTTTTAACTGTTATATAAAAAAAACTCCCTCAGTTTACTAAAATTTTGCACACTGTTTTATTTTAATATTTCCTTCAATATCTCCTAAAATCATCGAAATCGGTACACTCTAACATCATCCCATACAACTGATTGTTCAGAGACGTTGTTTTGCGTTACAACTCCTCCAATTAAGCAGGTAAAAATTTAGTATAGGTTCACTTTACCATATAGCACGCATACAATTTATTATTCAGATATGAAGTTAGAGTTATAGCGCAAAAACACATATCTGAGTAATCAGTTGTATTGGAGCTATACGTTAAAGTGAACCCATTTCGATAATTTTAAGGAATAATTAAGGTAATATTAAAAAACCTTTAGGTGCAAAATTTTAGTAAAATAACTTCATAACTGAAGGAGTTATTTATAAAATAGTTAAAATTTAATCAAATTTTCAAATACCGGTATATCGAAAACCGGAGTCAATCTGGTAAAACGGGGGATACCATTGAATTTAGAACGTTCCAATTAAGTGAGTTCAACTTTCAAAGTCTTTGCTCAAAGTTTACAACTTGAACAACGTAATTTGAACCCAGCTTATTCTATTGTTTTCTATTTCATGTATATTCCGCGTCTAACTTTTGAAGCACTTGATGGAAATTAATTACACTTATATTACACAGTGTATATTTTAGATAAAGGTTTAATCCTTTGATTACACGTGTATGTTAAAGTTTTTGGATTCGGGTTATGCGTTTGGACACAACAACCGAAAATCATTGTACTAATAACTAAACCGGGCCAAGTTTCTCGATAAGGGGCAACAAATATTCTTTTTTGCTCGTTTACATAAAGCAGTGGAAAAAATATATGTATATGCGAAAGGCAAATTTATCTGCTTAAATAAACACCACTAATATTTCGTGCAAACACACATCATCTCGCATCCGACACAGAATTCTTTTCGTACAAAATTACGCAAAAAAACTTACTCGTTCGTTTTTAGGCATGCCATTGATACGGATTTCGAAAGTTCGAAGATACGATTCGGATTGCAGCATACCATTCCTACTATTCGTAGCAAAATCCGAATTCGAAAGTGTTGCAGAATAAGGGTGTTGGATCGTATAATGTTTTTGATTTTCCGTTTTTACCACCATAAAAAAATTTAAAAAGGGAGGACAAAAAATAGCACTTCGTTTGTAAATTACCCATTTTCATTTTACCTTTAAAGCTAAGTGATTTATAAATATTCGCTTTCAATATTTATAAAATGTTCATTTGAAAAAACTTAAAATAAACTGAATACTAAAAACGCTTAGTTAATACTTAATATAGCAAGCTTACGTTTAAGTTACTTTTAAAAACTTACAAAAATGATTGTTGGGTTGTATATTCAGTTGTCAGACATCCGCTTTTTAGCGAATTCTGCGCAGAGAAACATTACTATGCATTTTGCTTTGATATTTGTTGTCTACTTCTTGTACAATGATTTTTTTTAGGAAATAAAGTTCTTTGGAACAAAATAAAATGTCAAATTATATATGTACTTATATGCAGTGTTGCCATTTTAGCCGTTTTTCGCCTAGATTTAGCCGGTTCCGAAAGCAAACAGCCGGAGAAAATTCGGTTTATCCGGCAGCCGATTTGCCAGCCGCTTTGACAAAACAAATAAGCGGTGTTTAGCCGATTTTCCTATTTGCAATATTTTCTTGAAATTTATATACATATATGTTAGGCATGGATACCAGAAGTACTCAGAACTCGATTCTCAAAATAATCGACAGCACCCGATTTTTAAAGTATCGATACTGAGTACTCCAAAGAACTCAGTACTCACAAAAGAACTCGAAAGTACTCAGTACTCAAAAAAAATCTGTTCCAATAATCGCTTTGATACACGTACTCAGGATCGATTCAATGTACTCAGTATTAAGTGCCGAATACACTTATAAAGTATTTAGTTTTGTTTACATTTAACGGCATTCAGAAATGATTGTACTCAATTTGCAGTTTCAATAATTGTTGTTTATGTAACAAAGCATGCACCGCGGTGACAACACATACACTGAGAAAAAAACGCGTTGTAAAAACGAATTTTTTTTATCTGATTACCGTTTAAAAATGTACGTATTAAATCAAGTGAAAAATTGAACATTTCCTCTATACATACACTACGTATAATGGAAATATTCAATTCATATATGCCCGTATTAAAATGAAGCATTTTTCACTGCACGGATGGCGTTTTGCACGCTTCGGATGCTTTTTCATTTGAAATTAAGAAAGTATACCCTGTGCGGAAAATCTCTAGTTCTGAACTGGTGCGCTTCTAGTACATTTAGAGCCAGTACTGGTTCGCGATAAATCTCTTTTCATGCAAGCAACTGGCGAATTTAACATGTCGATGTCCATCAAAAAATTAGTAGCCCACTTTAGAAAATTTTAGCCATAACATACAAACCAAAACTTTCTCGGATTATGTAAATTTAAGATTTAGGGAAATTCTAATAATTTATTAGGTAGCAAAAAAAGGTTTTATCACCCAAAAAAATCTTAAAATTTTTTATCACACATTTTTAAAATCTACTCACTCGTATTTAATCTCCATAGAAACTTTTAATAAGAATGTGATCTAATATTTTTCTAACGGTAATTAAACTTTACACCCTATGTCTCATGCTTAATGTGACCAACTATTTCATAGCTCAAAGAAGTACAGATTAAGTTGAGTTACGTTAACGCCGCGAGCCGATTACGAAATTTCGAATGCGGCTAATTTTGATCCCTGCGAGCTCAGTGTTTGTTCACAAGTGCGAGCCCAAATGTTTCCATCCAAGCCTCGCGAAGGTTGGACAGTCTAAAAGAAAGTCTGGAGATGATTCCACTTCAACTTCCTCTTGAATATTAGGCTTCTACGACAGCCACCGTTGATCGCCAACCTAGTTACCTGGTTTAGGTAACCTTGAGGTAGAATAAAAAGGGTGTACAGAAATCGTCCCTTAACCAAAAGTTCCACATCATCTACATAGGCGATCACCCGACAGCCCACATTTCCAGTTCCTCTATAAGGTCGTTTACAACCGCAATCCAGGGCAGGGGCGAGAGAACACCACCTTTTGGAGGGCTCCCATTGACTCCCACTTCGCCGCGACAGTTCTGTCACGAAGGAAACTTATTAGGTTGGTTTCAACCCCCAGATTATGAATATACTTGACTATTGCTTCTGGAGTGACATTGTTGAAGGCCCCCTCGATATCGAAGAGGCCCCTACTGCACAATCTTCATGCGTGAAGACTTCCTCTGACCACTTTACCAATGTGCGCAGGGCGGTATTCACCGACCTTTTCTTGCAATAAGCATATTGAGCTCTTGAAAAACAGTGACAAGCCTTGGGGATGTACCCGGTCCTCATGCATGGATCAAACCAATTGCACGACACCTTCAGAGCCCTTTGCAGCTGCGCAGATATGATGCCATCGGCCGCCGGCGACTTTAATGGTTTGAACGAATTTATCGTCCAGGCCATGTGACGAATGTCCAGAAGAACGGAGAAGAACAGGAACTGGGGGGGAGATTCTGTAACCAGTTAGCGACAATTTTCGAATCGCTATTGCATTTTTTGACGTAAAAACATTTATATCATGCGTCAAAAAGTGCGATAGCGATCCGAAAATTGGTGCTAACTGGTTACAGAATCTCCCTCCCGAAGTACAAAATATCGCAAAGAAGTACATTTGACTGTACTTCGAAGTACGAAGTACAAGAGTGAAAAAAGAAGTACTGTACTTCATGCTCAATCGAATTTTCAATTGTCCAAAAATAAGTCGGTTATTTCCTACATTATGGCTTTTTACAAAACAAAGTTACCTTTTCTATGTTTTACTGTATTAACTAAAATATAGCAATGAGAAAACTGATATCAACACATAAAAAACGTTAATTTCGGCCAGAAAACCATAGTGTAATATCAAAATACTTAATATCATATCAGCATAATTTGCTCATCAATGCAGAATTAACCCTAAATTTTGTCAGTTGCTTGGTTTCGAAATAAAAACAAACACCTATGCAGATACCTTTTGTTCAAAGATATTACTTTTACTTTCGTTTTATGTTGAAATAATTTCGTTTGCTAAAAAATAACTGAGCATGTATTGTATTGTGTGTATGTATTGTATTGTAAAATTTTTATTTCATTATTTATTCGTTCCCCTTTTTAATTATTTATTTTAATTTCTTGTTTTGTTTTTCGAACCTGTTTACCGATCCTGAAATCCTAAATAATATCATATTATATAAAACGCACTCCATTGTCGGCGCAAAATTTAAAATATAATTGAATTTATACCTAATGCTCGTGTTTAAATCATGACAAATGCTGCTGCTATCGTTATCGCATAATGAATCGACGCCAATACAACTTTTATTTTATTTGCTTTGATGCGTTGCCAAATATTGAATGATGCTGTTCCTGCCTCATTATTTTCTATTTGAAATATTAAATCCCTGAGCAGCTAAAGGACGTACTAATATTGAATTACGCGAGCAATTTATTTTGGCGGATGGTGTATCTCAAAGTATGGCGGCATTTACTCCTCGTCGGTCTACAACGAATGCCACACAGAATGGCAACGTGTCGCCTTACATAGGTGGACAAGGTCCTATTATAAAGGTAAATTATTAATATACAAGTAGCCGTTATTTTATTTAAAACCTTTATTTCATATCATCGATTGCAAAAGTAAATATAGCATCGCCCGTTTGCTGGAAGAACGTGGTAATAAAAATATGAGTTAAGTATGTCGTAATGCCGCCACCCCTTTTATGTTGTGTAATTGATTCTTAATCATATCTATAAACATATTCTCATAACAAGTAATTTTTAAGCACAAACCACAACCGACTTCAGTTCTCATATAACAATTTAGGAGTACCGTTCATTTCTTCATGATCCAATGAAGACCAAATCTAAACCAAATTAGTATGGGACCACCTTTGAGGTAGCACCTTTCCGAAAACACGAACTATCGAAATCGATTCACGTGGTCCAAAGTTATCAGGTAACGTACATAAAAAATATGAAAAAAAAAATCCGACGAATTGATAACCTCCTCCTTTTTTTGAAGTCGGTTAAAAAGATATTTTGTCTTTCTTGCAATTTAGGAAATGATCTACTTTGCTTCACAATTATAATACTAATCAGTCATTCTTTGACCAAAGTCGGTAATCAAATTTGTTCTCAGGATTAGATATTACTAGGGCTCGGAATCTCATGCAAATGCATGTATTTATTGGGCATGTTAATATCGAAATGGTTAAGTTATCTTTACGAATCATGCAATTTTCTTTAAAGTGGCATTCAATCGTTAGTGAATATTTTTGCATATTTCACAGTAAATGCATGATTTCGCGTATTTTGCAAAAAATACCTATTTTTGCATATTTATTGCGCATATTTTGGTAAATTTTACAATAAATGCATGTGGTTTTTGCATATTTTTTTATGTACAATTTGTATGTATAATTTTTTCTTAAATATTCATCTGAATATCTTCTCGGATAGCCAAGCGGCCATTTAGGTACTCTCTTCTACTCTTCTACCTCTGTTAGATCTCAACTAGTGGAAGACTGTAGGAGAGAGCTATATCTCTGATCAATACGAAATTAACCTAATATGGTTCCTGGCACATGGGGCCATTTACGGAAACGTGGCAGCGGACGAACTTGCAAGGAGCGGCTGCGCACTGAATGTGTCCCACGCGCTTCGCACAGGGAGATAAAAGTAACAATTACCGAAGTCTATCACTCCAAGGCTAAGCAGAGATGGAAGCCTACAGGATCGTACAGGATTACCCGGCAGTTCTGGGTGCCCTACGACCCACTTAGACCAAAGCTCTCTTAAGAAAGAGTCCTTTGGTATAGTAGTTGCGATGACTCTGGCAAGCCATTCCTGCAGAATGTTTTAGAGTGAAGCTGCCTTTCTCTGTATGACGTACTGAAACTCATTAAAGCCGCCAAATGGCTATAGGTTGCACGAGATGTGGAATCAAAATGGCAAACTTTCTCAACTGTTTATTTACACAAGATTGTATCTAACTGCTTGATTATAAACTAATTTTATCCATAAATATGTATTGTATTTTGAAGTGAATTGTTTTCGTTATTTTCTTGTTAAAATACATTTGTTATTTATTTTTGTACCGGCAATAAAATATTATGAAAATATTTTTAATTGCATATTTTACTTATTTCTGACTTTTGAGTGCATATTATTATTTGAGTGTCGATTTTTTAATGTATGAGATTCCGAGCCCTAGATATTACTATTAAATTTGTATATTTATTTTGGTACAAGGAGAAAAACGACTAAAAACTGAAAGGCCGCTTTTCCCGCATATTTAATTTGTTTAATTATGGCGTTCGTCCAGCAAATGATTGATATGTATCCATGCTTATTTGAGTTTTTATTTTTATGATTACCAACAACAATAGAAAATCGAATGGATTGTTATTTTTTTTTACTTTTGAATAAAGGAAGTGATGTTTTGATAATAATGAAATCTATTACCCACGCTTTAAAGCCTGTAGTATTACGTGTTTAAGCTACTTATTAATTTCCCGCACAAAACCAAGCGCAGCGAATACACACACGCACTTGTGTTTAAAAGGTCGTGCGTAAATGTTCATAACCATGCAATTCTCAAATATCTCCTCGCGGAACTTATTGAAATAATAAGCCGCTGGGGCATTCCCAACGATGGTCAACGCTAACCCAGCTTGATGTACACGTTGCTTCACGCCATTGACTAAATAAATCCTCGCACGTTGTACGGCTGCTTACGGCAGCTAGAGCATGACTCCATTAATAGAGTGCGCAATAAATAAATAGTAAAAGGGTCACATCTAGCGCTACAGCTGCATCTGCCCTCACATCTCTCTCTCACCAGGCTTATGAAGTGAGTTGTTGACTTGATGCACGCCTATAAGCCATATATATGGTAATCCCTACCTCCAGCTTGATCCCAATTATAAACCTGGTCCCGCCCTCCCTTAGCTTAACAATACGGGTAGTAACATGAGGAAGATTATGCGGACCTGGCACCTGAGTCTTTAGGGTTTTAAAAATGAATACAAAGTTGGCGTAAGTTGGGAGAACTTCGCAACTATCCACAGTGCCAAAATCTGTTAATGTCAAAATCGAAGCCTATCGGTTCAAGTACAAAGATCAACAAAAAAGGTTTTTTTTTTTTTTCAAAAACAAAAGGCAATAACGCCTATATTTATGGCTTGCTTATTTCGAATATAGGTATGTAACTTATCGCCTCGAGCCACCGAATTGAAACACAACGCGTCGGATGGTCAAATGAACTTACAGAGTTTATTTACTTTGCATTTTTGTACAATTTTCACTTACTTGCTATATACAATACTACAATAAAGTTGTTGTTTTATTATTTACTTACTTATTAAATACGTTCTTAATTAAATACGTACTACATGCAAAGGTAAGCTATGCTTAATGCTAACGATGCAAATTGAGGCAACTCAGGTTGGCGGCAACGGATTCACATTACGTCGGCACGACTTCCGCTTAAAGTTAGTGCTGGCGAAATGCGAAGTCGTTGTTGTTGTTGGATTAGCAGAAATCTGCTTAACTTTGTGAACTAATTTTACTCGGTTAAAATATTGAATGTGCTTATGCAACGCTGAGTATGCAGTATTGTTATTTGTGTTGGCTACTTTTGGCTACGCAACGTTCTTATTAAATGTCGAATGCACTTACGCAACGCTGAAGCGTAGCGTTTTTGTTATTGTATTTGGGTAGAATTCCTATGGTGCTAACTCCCCCCTTCTTAAGCATCAGCGTCTCGCTGATAAGATTTTATTGTTTTACTGCGATTTGTGGATGATCTATTACTGGCGGAATGAAAAATGATTTCCTGTTTTTTGGCCTGAGGATGGTATACAGGGCGATTTATAGAACTATTGCAATAAGAATGGCTGCAAGGCTTGTACCAATTGAAATGCTATTTCCTGACGACATGTATTCTAATCTTTTCACATTGGTTAAATGAAGTTGGTGCAGGTAATTCAGATCTAATTTAATTTCGTTCTCAGTTAGGTTGTTTTGCAGTATTGGAGGCAAGACTTGGTAAGAGCTAGTTTGCCAGTTTGTGTAAGTAGCATCGTTTAGAGTTACAGTTTCGTTAAAGAAATTTATAATAAGGGTACCATTTAGTTTGAGGAGTTTTGTATCGTAACTAAGGCTTCCCATAAAATTCGAAACAAAAAGTGTTCCTTCTGTGATTAATTCTACTATGGCCTTATTTTCGTATTGGTAATCGCACGTTGCCCTTTCTCCGCTCAGAATTTGTGTAATGCAATGTGTCTTTTCTAATTTTTGAAGCTGGGTTTTTTTACAAATTGTGGTTTCGTCCATTAATATGCAATTTCCGATGACACCATATTGCTCTTTCTGTAATGTAAAAAGGTTGGAATATTCTAAGTAAATTCTCTTGTTGTTTTTATATAGTTGAACGAATAATAATATTGTTAAATAGAGTATCTTCAGTTTTGGGTAATGAAATTACGTATAGAAGGAGCGAAATTTTGATAACTATTGAGGGTTCAGCGTACTCAAGTGCTTGAAGTTCGGTTTTGAATTGTAATGTCCCAGTTTGTGAAAGGACATTCGCGATATCTGCTTTACTTAAGAGTTGTGAATGAACAATTCCTGTTTGGATAGCTGAGTCGCCATTACGATTTTAGAAATTTCATCTTTAATTATCCCGAACTTATTAAATAAAATGGCTTTTGTTTTATTTTTGATTTGCTTGTCTTTCTTTAGGACAATTTCCCCTGGTTCGTAGAGTATCTTCAGTTTTGGGTAATGAAATTACGTATAGAAGGAGCAAAATTTTGATAACTATTGAGGGTTCAGCGTACTCAAGTGCTTGAAGTTCGGTTTTGAATTGTAATGTCCCAGTTTGTGAAAGGACATTCGCGATATCTGCTTTACTTAAGAGTTGTGAATGAACAATTCCTGTTTGGATAGCTGAGTCGCCATTACGATTTTAGAAATTTCATCTTTAATTATCCCGAACTTATTAAATAAAATGGCTTTTGTTTTATTTTTGATTTGCTTGTCTTTCTTTAGGACAATTTCCCCTGGTTCGTAGCTTTTTGGCTTTGACCTTTTCCTATTGTGATTTTTCAACATATTCTTCTGTTTCCTAGCTATTTCGTTCCGAAGGTCGACATTTACTAAATCTCTTAAATTTGTTAGATCCTGATAATTTATCCTTTGCGTTCTTCCAAAAAAAATGTCGACGGGCTTCTTCTTTGTAACCGAATGTACCGTATTGTTGTATCTATCGACGGCAATGTTAATAATCTCCTTCAGTGAGCAGTCGGGATACTCCGATTGAAGACACCTAACAATTTCAATAATTGTGGAGTGAACACGTTCAATAGCACCATTCACTTCGCTCTTTTGAGGTGGTGCTAAATAAATTTCCATCCCTAAACTTTCTAAGTAATTAAGTGCTATCGGACTGACAAAACTGCCTTCGTTGTCCATTACTAGCAGTTTAGGAACGGAAAAATAGTGGAGAAGTTTTATTTATTTATCTCAAATATGCAGTACCGACTTGTTTTCTATTCGGAAAAATT